TCAGGTAGGGGAGAAAAATACAACAAAACATGTAATAGCAGTTTCATTAGATACAATTTAAATCATACCGATTGTTCCATAAATGCACGAGGTCCACAAGAACCAACACCATATTTCTCCACTGATTTGGTACAGGACTCCTGTTTCAAATTGTTTGATATCATTTGGCACCCAAGTAAAGTAATATGCTGACAAGTGGAAACAAAAAGCAAAATAAAAAATTAGGCCTTACTAGCAACTTTTCGTGTCCTACAAATCCAAGGTAATTTGCTGATGCAAAGTTAACAACTTCTTTCCCATTGATTATTGTATGTGGTCCTGCAGCACTGTACAAGAGCAACTCATGAGATTACCAGAAAACCAGAACTATGAAGGCTTGAAAACTTGCATGCACAAATGAAAATTTCAGTCAACCATAGGAGTAGAAACAAGAATCTGAAATTAGTGAGGAATCATATCTCCAAATGAAAACGACAATGTGTAGGATGGGAATCCAAGTCAGAAAATAATGTATCTGCATCTAAGTTTTCATCATCTTTTTTGTCATATATATTTTCCTTCAGGCAGATGTGGTTTTTTCATTATAAGGTGGTTTTGAAATTTGTATCATCTCTAGAAAATGAACCTTGTAAAAGGATTATCTAAAAAATTCACCTTTGCAATACTGGTGGTTGATACTTCATCTCTTCGGTAATTGCAGGAATGAGGGGTTCTGGGACCCACTCATCACATAACTCATCTATTTCCTAGAAATCATCAGGCAATTGCATTCATCAGCTTGGGTAGTAGAAGAAATGAAGAAGACAAACAAAGTGATACACAAATATTTAATGAGGTGTTATCAAGAGTATTGTATGTATAACTAATTGAGACATGTTACTTTGATGCGTGCTCTAAATATTAACACCAAGCTCATAAACATCCCTTTAAATCCCATAACATCTAGTTATGATATAGCAAAGCTGTTTACAAATTTTCATAGCAAAATATACAGTGGCCTAGGGGCTAGGAGCCAGAACAAGACTCCTCAACACCAAAAGGAAGAGGAAAGATTGGAATGACATGTGGTTAGAAAGAAAACCACAGAATGGTCAATGTGGGAATACTATCCGTTTCTAGTAAAGATTTTAGATA